AGGAAGTGTTGCTCACCACTGCGGTGTCGGTGATTCAAAACGGCTTCGACAACATAGCGTGTGTGTCCATCTAGATCTGTGAAGGGCGGAGGCGGGGGTTGGTGTCTTCCAGGAATCGTGTTCTCTTCGTAGCGTTTAAGAGCAGTGACATTAAACACGGGATGGCAGCGAAGTTCACGGGGTAGTTCCAAGCGAAAAGCATTCGCTCCAATCTTAGCCTGGATACGATACGGACCAAACCACTTGGGTTGCAACTTCCGAGAGGGCTGGCCACGAGCTTCCGGGGTCAGTAGAAAGTCTCTGTAGACAAGAACGCTATCACCAACCTTCAAATCACTGGGCGTTCTCGTCTGGTCTGCGTATAGAGCTTGCCTTGCCTGGGCGTCGAGCATAGCATCTCGAGCTATCCTTAGTGCGGCTTCCTGCTCATGAAGCCAATTGACCGAATCACTCCTTTCCCCTCCCGTAAGAATGAATTCGGGCGGGGACTTAGGGTCAAACCCATAGTTCAGATAGAACGGTGTATTAGCTACAGATGACTGTTGTGAACTATTTATTGCAAACTCGCAGAGTGGTAGAAGCGAATCCCAATTGTCCTGTCTCAAGTTCACAAATGCTCTTAGAACATCTCCCACTTGCCGGTTAACTCTCTCTGTCAAACCATCCGTTTGAGGGTGGTTAGCAGTGCTGAATGCCAATTTAGTTCCTAGCTGAGAGAATACTTCTTTGAAAAAAGCTGCAGTGAATCGTGGATCGCGATCGGAAACAATGGTTGAGCTCAGCCCGTGCAGACGAAACACGTTTTGAATGTACAGTTGAGCGCTGCTCTTAGCATCAATCTTCGAGTTTGTTGGAACAAGATGTACGCATTTCGTAAGTCGGTCCACAAAGGTGTAAATTGCGTCGAAGCCACGAGAAGTAAGGGGCAATCCAACAATAAAATCCATTGAGATATCCTGCCAAGGACTATTAGGTATTGGAAGTGACTGGAGAAGCCCTGTTCGTGGCTGACCTCCCTTCGTTCGCTGGCAGAGATCACAGGTTTTGACAAATCTCTTGATATCGAGACCCATTCGGGGCCAGTAGAAAAAACGTGCTAGGCGGAAGTACGTTCGATCACGACCCGGGTGGCCAGCCGTTGCACACTCATGGTGTTCTTGAATGAGCTTTAACCGGACACCGCACTGTGGTATGCACAACCGGTTATTGGGGGATGCCTTGAGGTACAAGCGATCAGTGGATTCGTCCCAATAATAGCGATCATGCAAATTATCTCGGAGAGAATGCTTCAATCTTTCTATGATGGGAGTTAGCTCTTTGTCTCTCTGGTAGGCATCTGATATTGTATTGGACACGTCATCATTCATTGCTAAAGCATACTCAATAGCATTCAAACGTGGTACTGCATTCTCCACGAGGTTACTCTCATGGAGATCTGGGCGACGCGAAAGGGGATCTGCAGGGTTCTCTCTGCCGGGTCTGTGACGGACTGTGTAGTTATAGTCAGCTAGGAATTCAACCCATCGCGCCTCTCTCTTTGTAATGCTTGGTTTTGTTTTCAGATAAACTACCGCCATGTTGTCTGTAATGACCTCAAAGTGTTGAAAGAGGTAGATGCGCCAGGTCTTTAGCGCAAACACTACGGCCAATGTTTCTCTTTCTGTAGCTGTATAATTCTGTTCCGCAGCAGACAATTTTCGGCTAGCATAAGCCACTGGATGCCAGGCATCTTCCTCTAGTTCTTGGAGAAGAACACATCCCAAGGCGAAATCGCTTGCATCTGTTACCACTCTGAATGGTCGGTTCACATCAGCCAGCCGCAATAGGGGCGCATTCAACAAGGCATGCTTTAGCGATTCAAAGGCATGTTGCCGAGAGCTGTTCCACTCGAATCGTGCATGTTTTCCCGTTATCTCCTCTAAGTTCTTAGAGAGCGATGAGTATTGATCTATGAATCGCCTAAAATAATTCGTAAATCCAAGAAATTGCCTCACCTCTGTGACGGAAGTCGGAGCGAGCCAGACCTTTACTGCGGCAATCTTGTCTGGGTCAGGGGCGATGTGCAGTCCATCGATGCAATGTCCCAGGAACCGCACACTCTCCACGCCAAATTCACATTTTGACCGTTTGCAAAATAACTGGTTGTCCCGGAGCACGCTCAATACCGACCGGGCATGCTGCATATGCTCCGACCACGTTTTGCTGAAGATGAGTATGTCATCTAGGAACACGACTACGAACTCCCTCAGATATGGTTGAAGAATCGTATTCATCATGGATTGAAATGTTGCCGGTGCATTGGTGAGACCAAATCCCATGACCCTAAATTGGTAATGCCCAAAGGGAGTGTTAATCGCGGTTTTGGACACGTCCTCAGCTTGAATGCGAATCTGATTATACCCTGATCGGAGGTCTAGTTTCGTGAAGTACCTAGCGCCCTGTACGGTATCGAATAAATCATCCACATTGGGCAAGCACGCCTTGTTCTTAACAGTTATCTTGTTTAGCTCCCTCCAATCGCAGACCATGCGTAACGAACCATCAGCTTTCTTGACAAAAAACACCGGTGCACCAAAGGGGGACTTACTTGGTTCTACGAAACCCTTTTTCAAGAGTTCTGTGAGCTGTTTCTTCAATTCCTCCATTTCTGGCCTGGGCAGGCGATAGGCAGGTCGCGATGGGGGTGATGAGCCTTCCTCCAGGCGGATTTCGTGGTCTACAGACCTCTCTGGTGGGAGTCTAGCTGGCAGATCATCCGGGAAAAGATCGTCATAGTCACGGAACATGGCCTTGAGATCTGGGTGCTCGTTCTGAGTGGATTTGTCGGGAGGTTCCTTGCCAATGCCGTCTTCTACGCTGACCCACGCCAGAACACCTTCGTCTCCACTCCTAAGGGCATGCCTAGCCTGACGACCAGATATGAACATCGCCTCCACAGGAGCGGTCGGTTCGCTTTGACTGGGCGACGCACAAGGCAAACCATTCGAGTTCAACCTGACTTCATTCGTCCGGAAGTTTATGTCTGGATTGTTACGCGTTAACCAAGGTTTCCCCAATATAGCGTCATAGCGATGAAGGGGGAACACCGTGAAGGTTTGGTTATCGCTGAAGTCGCCTACGATAACCTTCAATTCATGGGTCGTCTCCATGGGAAACGAGCTTGATGCTCCATCAGCCAGCGTGACATTCAGGTTTTCCGAGCCAATTTCGGTTGGCAGGTTAACTCTCCTGGCAAACTGTTCGGCAATGAAATCATGGGTTGAGCCCGAATCTATTAACATAAGCGCGCGACGACCGTTGATTTTGCCTTCTACACGCAGGAGCTCATGTTCCGTTTCCACATTGACGCTGGTAACCTGGGCCTCAATAGCTGGTGTAACATCTCGCTTGAAATTGGCTTCGGAGCATTCAGCATCATCGTCAACATCCTCCACAGCGAGGCTACTGAATCGGTTACGGGTAGAGACGGAGCACACACTACACGCAGGTGATGCCTTTTCTTGCTGCGTCAGTAATCGCATCGGCCTTACTGACGTCCACCGTTTGGGTGATCTCGATGCTGCGGGCAATTCTGGGCCATATGGCCTGGTCGACGACATGCGAAGCAGCCCCCCTGGGCTCGTAATGTCTCACGTTCCTCGGGGCTTAGTTTTGTTAGCTTTTTGCTACCTGATGGTGGTGCGAATCCCGGCGCGGTCGCCAGTGGTGGTCTGCGCTGAAATCGGCTGTCTGAGGCGACTGCTAGCGCTGACTGAACGGCGGCTGACAGTGTAGTGGGGTGTTCCTTCACTACCAAGGTCCACATGTTACCGTGCAGGCCGTTGACAAATAGCAAGGCTCTGGAGAGTTCGTCAAGTTCCGGCACCTGTAAACTTAGCCGAGAAAACTCCGTTACGTACGATTCAATTGACCCACGCTGTTGGATAGAGAACATATCCAACCGCACTCTTTCCTCATCATAGTGCGGGCCATACACTCGCGCTAGGGCGCTTTTCAAAGAATGCCAATCCGAAAATTGCTCACCTGCTTCCAGGGAAGAAATTAGCCAAAGACGCGCATTCCCAGCGAGGTAGCTAGCCGCAAAGTTAACTTGGCTCTCCGGGTCACCTTGAGGTGAGCACTTCAAGGCTAACTCGACCGTAAATACCCATTCTTTGAACTCGGAAGGGTTGCCATGGAAAACATTCGGTTCTCTGGTAACGCGTTTGACGCTCGGGCTTGTCTGGGAGAGAGAACGCGATCGACACGGGGCTAGATCCGGAGGACTTGAGCTTGATGTAGCAGGTAATTGATGTCGTCCAACTGTAGCAGCCACGTTGTCCCGAGCGCGGCGGATCTCACGGAAAGCGGCGTATAGCAGAGCAGTAGCGGCCAGGAGCACAAGGCACGTCAAAGGGCAAACGATGATCTCAACCATCCTCAAGCTACCAGTGTAACAGTATAGACTTGATTGATTGGAGAATTCGTCGAATGATGTTCAAACCAGAGGTTATAAAGCAAAAGAAAGGTGAGAACCGCAGGAGTGAGAATAGTAGGAACACAAGGTGTTACCATAAGACAAGCAAGAAGTGTCAAGGTAAAACTATTACACTATCTTTTGTTTTTGGTGCGTGTTTCTGGCCGTGATGCCGAGACCTAAGGTCGGCAGAGCCATCAATGCCCCACCATCACTGCTGCATCTCGGTGCAGCCCCTTCTCAGTAGTTGTCACGTTTGTCCTTGTCTCAGTACCATTGTCTTTCTGTTTATGAGTTGGGTATGTGAACATAGTAAAAATAAAAAATAAAATAAAAACCTATATAGGTGCACTAAATGTACTGGTACATTGTAGTAACTTGATTCGGTCATATCATTATAAGGTAAAAATGTCCCTCCGGACCAGTCAAATATGTGGCAGCTACGGCCCTGGCATACATGATGCCGTGCACTATGTCCACATGCGCACATCAGTATTCAGCACATGAGAACAAATGGTTTTGTGTTCTTGAAAAATACTTGATGTCACAAGAGTGTGTTGCAAAGCGTATTTGATTGGTGCATTCCACCTCCAAAGCTCACCTGATCTTGGACATTAACGTCGACACCATTTTTTATCAGCAGCTCACACAGTGCTTTATGTCCACGGAACGCGCAGACATGTAGAAGTGATACTGGGCGGCAGTACTATTAGTTCACCATAGCAACAAACACACACATACACACATACACATTCTTGCAATCACCTGCAAAGCATACAAGTTCCAGATTTTTCCTTTCTATTGCAGCATAGTACAATACACATGTACTCGAAGTACAATTGCTTTCTCCAAGAACAAAGCATATCTCGTCTTAGTGTGTGTGTGTCGTACAGGTTGGGGACATAGTAAATGCTGGCTGGAACTTGACACAAAATTCACAATAATACTTGCATCAGTGGTGCCTATGAGCTAAACTCATAACCTCAGATTAGTGATACAAAGAGTACATAACCCCAAGAGTGTACAACTGCCCACACAACCTTTATCCACTGCTGTTATGCCAGAACTTCACATCACTCGTGATTCAAAAGGTTACGCTGGCAAGCAGTGCAAAGTGACCCGAGGAGAGTTGAACCCAAAACAGGATTGGGTTCAACCCTCTATCTATCATGCACAGTGTGAAAATACTGTGTGCAAGCTCGTCAAGTGATGTGATGTCCTGCCATCTCATAACGTGTTACAACAAAACTGCAGTAGCACACTCTTGGCGGTTGTGTACCCTTGGGAGAACTACAGTACCTTTTCCCTTATCGTTCACCTCTACTAAAGTATACCCACTGGCCAGTGGTGATGTTGTAGCTCTACTAAAGTATACCCACTGGCCAGTGGTTATCTTGTAGCTCTACTAAAGTATACCCACTGGCCAGTGGTTATGTTGTAGCTCTACTAAAGTATACCCACTGGCCAGTGGTTATGTTGTAGCTCTACTAAAGTATACCCACTGGCCAGTGGTTATGTTGTAGCTCTACTAAAGTATACCCACTGGCCAGTGGTTATGTTGTAGCTCTACTAAAGTATACCCACTGGCCAGTGGTTATGTTGTCTCTCTACTAAAGTATACCCACTGGCCAGTGGTTAAGTTGTAGCTCTACTAAAGTATACCCACTGGCCAGTGGTTATGTTGTACCTCTACTAAAGTATACCCACTGGCCAGTGGTTATGTTGTAGCTCTACTAAAGTATACCCACTGGCCAGTGGTTATGTTGGAGCTCTACTAAAGTATACCCACTGGCCAGTGGTTTTGTTGTACCTCTACTAAAGTATACCCACTGGCCAGTGGTTATGTTGTACCTCTACTAAAGTATACCCACTGGCCAGTGGTTATGTTGTAGCTCTACTAAAGTATACCCACTGGTCAGTGGTTATGTTGTAGCTCTACTAAAGTATACCCACTGGCCAGTGGTTATGTTGTAGCTCTACTAAAGTATACTCACTGGCCAGTGGTTATGTGGTACCTCTACTAAAGTATACCCACTGGCCAGTGGTTATGTTGTAGCTCTACTAAAGTATACCCACTGGCCAGTGGTTATGTTGTAGCTCTACTAAAGTATACCCACTGGCCAGTGGTTATGTTGTACCTCTACTAAAGTATACCCACTGGCCAGTGGTTATGTTGTAGCTCTACTAAAGTATACCCACTGGCCAGTGGTTATGTTGTAGCTCTACTAAAGTATAGCCACTGGTCAGTGGTTATGTTGTACCTCTACTAAAGTATACCCACTGACCAGTGGTTATGTTGTAGCTCTACTAAAGTATACCCACTGGCCAGTGGTTATGTTGTAGCTCTACTAAAGTATACCCACTGGCCAGTGGTTATGTTGTAGCTCTACTAAAGTATACCCACTGGCCAGTGGTTATGTTGTAGCTCTACTAAAGTATACCCACTGGCCAGTGGTTATGTTGTACCTCTACTAAAGTATACCCACTGGCCAGTGGTTATGTTGTAGCTCTACTAAAGTATACCCACTGGCCAGTGGTTATGTTGTAGCTCTACTAAAGTATAGCCACTGGTCAGTGGTTATGTTGTACCTCTACTAAAGTATACCCACTGGCCAGTGGTTATGTTGTAGCTCTACTAAAGTATACCCACTGGCCAGTGGTTATGTTGTAGCTCTACTAAAGTATACCCACTGGCCAGTGGTTATGTTGTAGCTCTACTAAAGTATACCCACTGGCCAGTGGTTATGTTGTAGCTCTACTAAAGTATACCCACTGGCCAGTGGTTATGTTGTAGCTCTACTAAAGTATACCCACTGGCCAGTGGTTATGTTGTACCTCTACTAAAGTATACCCACTGGCCAGTGGTTATGTTGTATCTCTACTAAAGTATACCCACTGGCCAGTGGTTATGTTGTACCTCTACTAAAGTATACCCACTGGCCAGTGGTTATGTTGTAGCTCTACTAAAGTATACCCACTGGCCAGTGGTTATGTTGTAGCTCTACTAAAGTATACCCACTGGCCAGTGGTTATGTTGTAGCTCTACTAAAGTATACCCACTGGCCAGTGGTTATGTTGTAGCTCTACTAAAGTATACCCACTGGCCAGTGGTTATGTTGTAGCTCTACTAAAGTATACCCACTGGCCAGTGGTTATGTTGTAGCTCTACTAAAGTATACCCACTGGCCAGTGGTTATGTTGTAGCTCTACTAAAGTATACCCACTGGCCAGTGGTTATGTTGTAGCTCTACTAAAGTATACCCACTGGCCAGTGGTTATGTTGTAGGCCTCCTACTAAGTATACCCACTGGCCAGTGGTTATGTTGTACCTCTACTAAAGTATACCCACTGGCCAGTGGTTATGTTGTAGCTCTACTAAAGTATACCCACTGGCCAGTGGTTATGTTGTAGCTCTACTAAAGTATACCCACTGGCCAGTGGTTATGTTGTAGCTCTACTAAAGTATACCCACTGGCCAGTGGTTATGTTGTAGCTCTACTAAAGTATACCCACTGGCCAGTGGTTATGTTGTAGCTCTACTAAAGTATACCCACTGGCCAGTGGTTATGTTGTAGCTCTACTAAAGTATACCCACTGGCCAGTGGTTATGTTGTAGCTCTACTAAAGTATACCCACTGGCCAGTGGTTATGTTGTAGCTCTACTAAAGTATACCCACTGGCCAGTGGTTATGTTGTAGCTCTACTAAAGTATACCCACTGGCCAGTGGTTATGTTGTAGCTCTACTAAAGTATACCCACTGGCCAGTGGTTATGTTGTAGCTCTACTAAAGTATACCCACTGGCCAGTGGTTATGTTGTAGCTCTACTAAAGTATACCCACTGGCCAGTGGTTATGTTGTAGCTCTACTAAAGTATACCCACTGGCCAGTGGTTATGTTGTAGCTCTACTAAAGTATACCCACTGGCCAGTGGTTATGTTGTAGCTCTACTAAAGTATACCCACTGGCCAGTGGTTATGTTGTAGCTCTACTAAAGTATACCCACTGGTCAGTGGTTATGTTGTACCTCTACTAAAGTATACCCACTGGCCAGTGGTTATGTTGTAGCTCTACTAAAGTATACCCACTGGCCAGTGGTTATGTTGTAGCTCTACTAAAGTATACCCACTGGCCAGTGGTTATGTTGTAGCTCTACTAAAGTATACCCACTGGCCAGTGGTTATGTTGTAGCTCTACTAAAGTATACCCACTGGTCAGTGGTTATGTTGTACCTCTACTAAAGTATACCCACTGGCCAGTGGTTATGTTGTAGCTCTACTAAAGTATACCCACTGGCCAGTGGTTATGTTGTAGCTCTACTAAAGTATACCCACTGGCCAGTGGTTATGTTGTAGCTCTACTAAAGTATACCCACTGGCCAGTGGTTATGTTGTAGCTCTACTAAAGTATACCCACTGGCCAGTGGTTATGTTGTAGCTCTACTAAAGTATACCCACTGGCCAGTGGTTATGTTGTAGCTCTACTAAAGTATACCGTGTATACAGTAAACCTGTAACTAAGGACCACCCCTTGGGGCAAGAAGAAATGGTCTTTAGTGGCAGGTGGTCTTTAGTTAGAGGTTTGCACTGCGCAACCCTATATGGATCCCATCTCTGATATGTATGTCAAAATGTAGCTAATACAATATCCCACCACATGTGCAATGCTATTTCTCCTTTGAGAAGTAGCATCGATCATGGAGCAGGTTCGAGCAGGTGCTCTCCAAGACGTTTCCTTTCATGTTTGCTCATAAGAGCACTTGAAACTATGCCAGGTGCAGTTCAGCCCATAGTCAAAATGACATTGCGTTTATTCGTGCAGCTGTAGTATCGAAAGAGTCCATTCAGGACAGAAAATCATCAAAATTTCGAAGAAGTAGCTTCGAACCACCTTTAATTTCCTGCACTGCTCTCGCTAGTTACATGTCAAAAATAGACTTTGGGACAAGAAAAGGCGGCCGCTGGATGCGTTCAGCAGGTAGTCGCTTGTCACAGTGCATTTTTGTATATGAGACTGTCCGTGCCTGGTGAAGTGATGTGTAGTACCAGGCTGGTTGTTAGTCACGGTGGTCTTTAGTACCAGGCTGGTTGCTAGTCACGGTGGTCTTTAGTTACAGGTTTTACTGTATATGGCTTTGAGGCGCATTGTTCTCCACATTTACAAAGAGAGGAACATGCAATTTTCTGGGAACATCTTTGACAGCAAAGTGACGCTGGATTAACATGTGATCAGTTTATCAGAATAAACAAACCAGTGATCAGAACAAACAGTTTCACGCCGAGCACTTCGGCCAGTACTCACCTGTCGTGGCTCATTATTGACATTGAACATAACTTTGCCGTGCAAGAGCGACGGATTACACCACAGTAAAAACTGGACACAATGAATGCTGCCATAGTAGCATGCTGCCAGCATCAGAAGAGCCTGAGTATGCAAGCGCAAATGCGCACACACGCACAAACAAGCACACAGATACGTACGTACATACATGCACATACGCATATGCTGACATGCTCTCTCACACACACACACACACACACACACACACAACACACACACACACACAAACACACACACACGCACACACACACACACACACACACACACACCATTAAAACACATATTTTGCACGCACGTATGCACATAAACACTCACACAGGCGCGTGCGCACACACCGCACACACACAAAAACACACATACAGATACATACACACGGACATTTGCATGCTCGCATATACACGCACGCACACACACACAGACACACACACACACACACAGAACTCAGAACTCAGACATGCCCATCATCACGGAAGCGATGATAGCTAACAGCTATGTTAGACATAGCAAATTGAGCTAGGATTACACCATTCAACAGCTTGCAAGGATGATGATTTAACCGCAACTAATTTTAGCCTGGTGTCCACCGCACAGCTGATTGAAGTGGCTTTTTCTGGCCAGTGAATCCCTATTTTTCATTTTCTTTCTCTACTTTTGCACACAGAGAGACACACACACAGACACACACACACAAAGAAACACACAGGCTAGCACACTCAAATACACACATACCCATCCAAGTATGTACGCACACTCCCGCACACACATGTGCACGCACACACACACACACACACACACACACACACACACACACACACACACACACACACACACACACACACACACACATACACACACGCACACACACACACACACACTTGTACTTGCTCACTGCCAAAACTGGTAACGTGAGTCTCACCGTGGAGGGGAGAGAAACTCCAAAGGAATCTTGGAAAGATGACTCAATTAGCTATTGAACCGACCAACGGCCTACACCCCTGAAATCCGCAAACTAGCGTGGACTTGAAAGTATCCAACTTATGGGCTCACCACACCTCAGTAAGCGGGGGAGGACAAGGTGACGAAAAGGATTGATGGCATCAAGGTAACCGTCCCGGTATCCAACTGCAGTTACCTCTGCCCCCAGTGAAGGTAACACTTGGTACTAGTGCGGGTGGCTAAATAATGTAGTTTGGTCCTACAGATGGATCGCGGCACGGTGATCACGGCACGGCGGCACGGTGCCAACGAGTGAGGAAATCATTTGGCGTGCTCGGCAAAGACATGTCGAAAGCGTTCAACACAATATCCAGGTACCGTTTGCTCACTATATTAGCTAGCTTCCTTGAGAATGATGAGGTCACCATTATGTCCTAGCTACTCAGGAACACGTCCCTTTAGGTCCGGTTACCTGGAGGGAAGAGCGAGCAGTTCCAGACCACCTGTACTACACCACAGGGTGACTCCATATCACCTGTCCTATTCATTATCTACCTGGAGGCAACACTTTGGGAGGTGAGACAGATTATCTGTGCAAGACCCGATCTAGATCGTCTGACTGCAAATGTATTCAAGAACTCCTGCCCGACATTGCAAAGTGCCTCAAAGCCTGGGACCTCAACATCAATGAATCTAAAACAGAACTCTCACACATCATATGGCTCAACGACAGAATGTGCGAGGAATGGCGCCTCACCATTGGTGACCACGAGGATGCTGCGCGGAGAACGCAACTCGCCACGGCTGCCCTGCACCGACTCTGGGCATTATGGATATGTGGTTCCGTTGTAAACGAATCGCTGAGAGTACGGCTATACAAAAAACATTCATCTTACCAGTCCTGTGCTACAACAATGGGGCTTGGGGCCTCACTGGAACCGCTATGCATAGAGTTGATGCGTTCCATAGACAACAACTGCCGAAGGTTATTGGCATACGGTACCCAGCTAAAATCAAGAATATCACCCTGTGCAAGAGGACAAACTCAACACCACTTGGTATCTCGGCCCTGAGAGCCCGCTGGCGTCTGTTTGGGCACGTGCTGCGACTTGACCAGAGTGCACCGGCGAACCTGTCAATGTGCTCCTACTTCAAGCCATCCACTGAGCCTACCTGGAGGGGGAAGCGGGGCACAACTCTGGCTGTCGTGCTCCGACACGATCTCGAGCTGGTTGGGAGGACCATCAAGACCTCGGCGGATCTTGAGGAGCTGAGGAGCATCGCCCAGAACCGCGGGGCGTGGAGCTACCTTTGCGGCCGTATCCTAGAGAGATATGTTACTGCTCTCGGAGGGTCCCTGGCAATGATCAGCAAATTCAAATTCAACTCGGTTGAGCTGCTTGTTTGCTTGTTTTAATTGTATTCTATTTTCGTCAGGCAAGCACCTAGAATTAATTCGTTGTTTCGGGTTACTTCACTCATCCGTACCAGGGTAGGACGGTCGGGTTTATTTTATTTTTATTTTTTATTTTAGTTGCGGGCAGGGGTGTATGCATGTACAATTGTGCATATCGAATAGCTTTTCTCCATCAAGCCAGTCGATCAAATCTGACTGTAGTCGATCCAGCGTAGCCATTGTCCCATCAGATCCAGGTCCGGGGCCACGTCCCCTCCAGGACCAGATCTTGGCCTCGCTGGCAAACGAGTCTGACGAGCAGCTCTCACCGAAGTTCTTGAAAACTTCTGTCAATGAGCGACGCAGTGGCGGAGCTGATGCTGTTTCAGGACCGATTGCGAATCGGAGATACAATGTAGAAGACAACGTCGTCACCAAGTGCTGCAGGCTGCTTCTGACTCTGAGGTCGATGTCTGGACTGCTATACATATTTTGGGTCGTGTGTGTACAAAGTCTACCTTGTAGTCATGCACATTTGCATGCACTAAAAAAATTGCGGTCGGATGAAAAAAGACGGTCGGTCGGGTGACCCGAAACAACGAATTAATTCTGGTTGGCCTCACGCGTTTTATATCGCATATGTTTTTATATCGCTATCAATATCCTGTTTGGCTGTTATCGCTTCGGCTTATGCGAAAGCTGTACATGCTGTGTATATCTACATTGCATTTATGCCGACGCGAAGAGCCTTCTAATAATAATACTTCAACATGCCAAATGTCCACTCGCATCCATGGAACTGCAGCTCATCTAGCTCCTCCTGAGCCTGCCTGGACTGATAAATCTGTAAAGGCAGAAACAACTCGAAATAGCCGTTTCCTTTGACCGGGAAACAGTGGGAGTCTACGAGGAGGGCAGCGTATGTGACAGCCTTGCAGACGACGAAAGACTCGCCAATGCAGCCTCCACAGGTCGTCGGCTCAGGCAATTACAACCCAGGGAGCGGTTCCTACCTGAGATGCCACACCCAGGTAGGAATGTTCATGCATCCAACATTGGCAACAACGCCCAATTCGAGCGAAGGCCATCAGGCCACGGACTGTTTGACAACGATAGCCGAACCCCTGGCAGCGACCCGCATTGCAGGACCTGCCAGCAGGTTGGGTCACGTCAGTAGGCATTGCTCCCAGTTCGGCCGAGGCAGTAGTCGCCAACCACACTAGACTCAGCAGCCACAAACCACTGCTGGAGCTCGTCCACGGATGGACGGAGCATGAGTTCCCGGACTGGCTGGAGTCTGACAATATAAGTGCTTGTGACAGTAACGTTCATGGGCGGTTATTACACCCCATTGCATCTTAAAAATATTGGTGCCTCAGATTTTGTTTTATGTATGTTTCTATTATTGCACGATTAAAGAGGTCAATATATGAAATATAGAACGAGTAAAAGACCGAGGTCCCCCGAGGTCTTTTACGAGGTCTATATTTCATATATTGACCGATTATGAGGGCAATAATAGATTTATCACGACATAGCATACCTAAACTGTTTTTGCTTTGCTATAGGAAGAAAGAAATACTATTGTAATAGTATCAAAGTATGTACATATGCCGTTTACATTGGACATTACTTCTGTCTAAACCGAAGTTTTCAGTTGTCTCTTGTAGTATGTTCCCCAAGTTCTTTGACTGACAATCTGGGTTCAAATCCCAGCATTTGGCTTCAGATTTTACTTCTTTTAGTTCTGATTTTTTTCTAAGTTGAGGAAAAAGTTGTAAGTCCCCGGGCTAAGTGGTCAATATATGCTGTTATCACTCTTCTATAGCTCGACTTGTCAGGGGTTCTAGGGCTGATAATCCCCTGACCCAGGGGATTATTCTTCATAATCCCCTCGGTGAGGGGAAAGAGCCCAACACTTTGGACTGCTCTCACTATACCTAGCGAGAGTAGGCCAAAGCAAGCTAGCCAAACAAACCCCAAAGAGCCAGCCTGGAAGCCGCTGTGTGAAATCTCAATCAAAATTTAATGATCTTATTATAGGAAGGTAGTTGAACAAGTGGACATATTTACAAAACTCTTACATGAGCACCGTGAATATGTTTTTTGAATTAGATGAACATGGATGTGAACGTGCAATTACAGCTACTCATGAATAGTAATTGGCAACAAGGTACATGTGTCTGCAACGTCAACGACAACGTTGCCATGGGAACTGAACAACAAATGAAAGCAAATACATTGTATTGTATCGTAAATAGGTTTACTATTGAACCTAAACAAGAGAAATGTTGTTCTTTGTATTTTGAATTCGCAAGAAATCCAACACGCCCGCATTTCGATCTCAACAACAATGTTGCCATGGAAACTGAACACTGGTCAAACTGCCCATCAGGCATCACCCTCCCTCCCTCCCCCTCAAAAATTAATTGGCTGAGAAAATTCAAAGAGAAAAACGCACAGATCAGGACTTACAAGAGTACCGGCACAACATGTGGGGCCTGAACTCCCACCAGAACAAGAAGAAAACCAGGGAGTACAGTCGACCTACCCTTATAACGATATTTGCGTCAGACCAAGAAATATTGTTATAAGGGTAATATTGTTATAGGGGTAACTGGTTCATTTCATACACATACGTCATAATGCATGGATTTTGTTCAGTTTTTACACTCTTCATAGCATAAAAAATGACATACATCATTTTACATGCACATTATGTACACAGCAAGGTGCCCACTGGTGCCCCCAT